TACATGCTCCGGTTATGCACAGTAAACATGTGATTGTATAGAATGAAATGGAAATAAAAATATTATGTGTCAAAAAAAAAACATTCACATATTCAAATGCAACGTTGTGTCAAAATTTCAAAGCAATCGGTGAAGAACCTTCGGAGATTAGCGATTTTGAACAAACAACCATTACATTTCTTTTTATATAGATAGATGAGTGGTTGAGATTTCATGCTTAGGTTGGAAATCTGTCTGGATGTAGAATGTATCAAAAGATTTCCTAGGGGAAGCTTTGGAGCAATTTGTCCTGTCTGACTTCTTGGCTTGTCCTCAAACTCTCCATTCCATCTGTGACTTCTCCCAATGGGCAGCTGCCTGTTGCATCACTCACTCAGAGTTAAGACAGATGGTGTCTCTCCTTGTTGCCATTATCCAAATCACAGTGATTTATTTGTTGTTGTGGTGCTAAATCTCTACAGATTCCCCCCCCCCCAAAAAAAAAACTTTCAGATTTCACATAAACACAAACCATAATATCATATCAGTTTGTTACTTAATGTCTTTCTACTGGAAAATCGTTGGGGACATAAATGCAGAGAACCTTTGGAGGCTTTTAGGAGGAGGTAGGGGCTGTTCCCCCCCCCCCACTTAAGACATTAAATCTTGCTGGACTCTGTCTGGATTAGGAAACCTCTGAAGCTTCTGTTTTGGAAGAGGGCTTTGTTTTTTTCTTCATACACTTTTTAGTCAAAAGAGACCCAGGGCTGGAGACTCGATCAGGAGCACAAGTCATGTTGCTGCTTCTGCTACTTCTGTGGCCTCCAGCAGCCTGGGGGATTCTCAGAGTCAAATGCTTCCTGAATCTGAAGAGAGACCAGGTGGATCCAAACAACCATTACAGTCCAGGAGAATTTCTCATTGGGGGCATAATCTTTGCAACACAGGCTACATTTCGACCACTAAGCTTCAACACAATACCTGTGACTCAATCAAAACAGTAAGTCGATCTTCCTGCACTGCTTTAGAGCCAGTCTGTTCCACTCTGATTTGTAAAGTTCCAACCTCTTCTCTTACAATGAATAGTCTCCTTGATCTGCTAATTTTTCTCTCTTTCTGTCTCATTTCATGCTTGGGGATCCATTGTCCATCCTGTAATTGATGAGCCTCCTTTGAAATTCTCAATACAATAATCAATAAAGATCTTCTGTTTTTCTTGATTTTGAAGAAGACCAGGAACCCTAATCATACAGTGATCTAAATATTACTTAACTCTCCATTCCAGAAATGGCAGTTTAAACATCTCCAGAAATTAATCATAGAATAGGCTAAAATAGGAAAGAAGAGAAGAGAAGAATTGGAAGGGATCTTGGAGGTCTTCTAGTCCAATCCCTAACCAGGCAGGAAACCCTATACCATTTCAGACAAATGGTCCCCTAATCTCTTCTTTAAAAACTCCAATGTTGGAGCACCTACAACTTCTGGAGGCAAGTTATTCCACCGAATACTTATTTTAACTCACAGGAAATTTCTTCTAGTTTGCTTTGCTCCTTGATTAGTTTCCATCTTTTGTTTTTGGCCATGCCTTCAAGTGTTTTGGAAAATAGGTTGGCCATGTCTTCTTCGTGGCAGCCTAACAAATATTAGAAGAGTACTATCATGTCATCCCTGGCATTACTTTTTATTAAACTTGACATACCCAATTTCTGCAACCGTTTTAGTTCATATGTTTTAGCCTTCAGTCCTCTAATCATCTTTGTTGCTCTTCTCTGCCCTTTTTCTTGCATCTCAACATCTTTTTTATATCACTGGTAGTCAAAGAAGCTCATTTCATGAGTGTGTTTGTGTGTTCTTTAATGAATCTATATTTAAGAAAATAAGTAGCCAGAGACGGTGAACGAAAATGAAAATCAGTCTAAAATGTTACTCCAGCTACAGGACTACATAAGAAACATTCTATAGAATAGAAACAGCACATAGGAAAAATGGTTAACAAATTAAGACTTATTAATAAAGTAGGATGAAGAAATTAAGATGACATTGAGAACAATTGTTTGCAGAAAAATATAGTTTTCAATGCTTCACATCTACATAGGTAAAATAAATATTTAATGTAGATCAAAAGGGGTTGAAAAACAGCAAACAGAATTCAAAATTGAATTATGTATATATGACAAAGATATAATAGCAAAAATGCATAAATTGTTTTAAAGATTTGAAACAGAAGAACAGAACAGAACAGAATAGAATAGAATTCTTTATTGGCCAAGTGTGATTGGACACACAAGGAATTTGTCTTTGATGCATATGTTCTCAGTGTACATAAAACAACAAGATACATTTGTCAAGAATCATAAGGCCCAGCACTTAATGATAGTCATAGGGCACAAATAAGCAATCAGGAAACAATATCAATATAAATCCTAAGGATATAAGCAACTAAGTTACAGTCCTGCAGTCATAAGTGGGAGGAGATGGGTGATAGGAACAATGAGAAGACTAATAGTAATAGTAATGCAGCCTTAGTGAATGGTTTGAGAGTGGTGAGATAATTATTTGTTTAGCAGAGTGATGGAGTTTGGGGGGAAAACTGTTCTTGTGTCTAGTTGTCTTGGTGTGCAGTGCTCTATAGCATCATTTTGAGGGTAGGACTGTAAC